GCAAGTAGGTAGTCACGAACTACATATGAAAATTCTGACTATCTAGTTGGTTCTACAAGTTTGATCGCAATTTTCTTCAACTACGGGCCGATGACATGGTGACTGCACTGGTTGCTGCTATTTTGAAACGGCTTATATTAAAAACTTCTGCGGGTGATAGTCTTTGGGCATTTTCTGATCATTACTCATCCATAATGAAAAGGAACCATCAATCGGCAGCACAGAGCAGCGCAGAGTATCCACTAATGCTGCCCCTACAACGAACGGAGATATGTTGGAGGAGACTCCAGTCGGTGACACCTCTTCTGATGCCTCAGCTATGTGGAGACTTTTGGAAAAGTCAGAGGGACGACTACAATCTAGATATCTCAAGGAATTTTTTTCGCAACCGTGGGCCTTTTGAGTGTATATACACACAAATATTTTTGGTCAATTCCAGGACCTCGACCCATAAATGAAACAGTGACCTATACATGTTGTGGAGTACACACTCCTGATTTCTTCAGTGTCAACTCACTTCTCTATCGGTTAATGATTACCACAGAGTCCGCTGTTCTACCTACCCGTTCATGAGGCCAGACAGAAGAAGAATGTAAGTATTATTGAATGGAATCACGTGAATAACACATTGCGTGTACAACTGATAAAGGGATAAATACTGCTATTTTCTCTAATGAGCTTTTGCACGCTGGGGTGAGCTTTGACGCGTTAGGTCTTTCATGAATTTTTCAGTCGAAATGATAGCTACCTGTCTTTCACGCTATGTCCATTGTTGTATGCGTGAGATGATGTCAGGAACCGTGTTTCGTTTGACATCACCACCCGCATACGTCGATGGTGAACGGAAAATGGTGAACAGTACAAGCGGAAGCTTTTGGGCGCCCAATCGGGGATTATTTGTTTCCGGAATAAGATCTTTCTATGAATCAAACTGAACAAGTGTTTTCTCTGAAATTCGTTCAGGCAAACAAACAATAAGAAGCCAAAAATCCGTACCTGCGTAGTATCGCAAGCCCATGTGTTGGTAAACGGTAGATTAAGACCGACAAAGTCGAAACCCCGTTTCGAGGGCAAGTGAGCTCCGTCGGTGCTGTTCACTTCGTTGATGCCAAGGTGCCATTTACCGATCATTCCAGTTACGTAACCTAGAGAGTAAACGGTGATGGAAAACAGTGATGTAGAACTCCATGCTGATTCTTATAATATTGGACTATGAGATGTAAGCGGTGGATCTGGAATAATAAAAGCTTTGAGATAATCAGTACTCGTTGGTTGGCATATAGTGAATTCATAATCATGGTCACTACGATTCCGAATAGAAGTCGAATACCTTGGGAAATCTCGAAACAAGACTGAT